AGAAATTCTCAACGTGGCATCGCTTTATATAGCTGAACATCTGTCAAGCAATAATTATCAGAGTGTTGTTATAGTATTTTGTTCGGTAAAAACCAACAGCTATGATTTATTGTAAAGCAATTTCGAGAGCGCGTTTAGTAATGAGTTCGATTAATAAAAATAAATCTAAGTAAATATCAAAAGTACTGACAAATTAATACTTTTTTTACACTTAACCTTTTTGTATATCGTTCCTACTGATTAATGAGACTTTCCTAACCCAGATATTAACCTATTATTATTATTAATATACTATTAACAGGCACGTAGCGTGGACGTTTTGGCTAGTACACGCACATGTCAGGGACCGCGGCACATATTTTGGATCTGGGGGTCTAACGACCGCCAATTTTGAAATGAATGACTCTTGGAAATGCGATTTCCAGCTTTTTGAGAGATATCGAGGGCATATAAAAGGAAGCAATTCTATGTGAATTTTTCATTAATTTTTGTGAAAATTTTAATTAAAGCTCCCTTGCCCACTAGTACGCATGTGCGTATATGCGTAAAGGACYCTACGCGCCTGATTCATTGTATATTTTAAAAATAGTCAACTCCAGGCTCCCGCTTGTATTTTTTTTTCTGAAAATTTAAAAAAATAAAAGCTTTAGTGGTGATTTTTCAAAAATTATATATGTCCGGGAGTCAAAATATAATTCACCAAAATCACAGTAGAATGTAAATCCAGGCTAATCAAAAGATACTTTACTGTATTTAGGTGTAGAATAGTCTTCCTTTTGACCAAATTCAGTTGACAATTTAAAGCTTCTTCGCCGCTCGGCATAGTATACAATCGACTTGGCACTTAGATTTTTCACGTCGCTGGACGGACTCCCGCACAGAATGTCACGAAAACCTTATATGTCCGGGAGTCAAAATCACGGGAGAATGTAAATCCAGTCTAATCAAAGATACTTTACTGTATTAAGGTGTAGATAGTCTTCCTTTTGACCAAATTCGGTTGAAAATTTAAAGCTTCGCCGCTCGCCATAGCTCCGGCGTGGAAGAGCCGAAATCTCTAACCGTAACGTAAGCCGATTCGATGCCTCAGCTTCATAGAATGTCTCGGGGGAATCTTCGCATCTTTTTAGATTTTTATTTTTATTATTTCTTATGTATTCCAGGGGGTAAATCTTCTCCTGAAGTGAAAGTCCTGAGTTCGAATCCTGCTGCTAGAGTTTCTCTTTTTTTGGGTATTGTTTCTTTTGCGTTTGTTTTCAGTTTAATTCTTTAATTCTCAAGATTTCTCTTCTTCGATTTTAATAATAGCAAGACTTCTGTCGTCATGGTGATCAAAAATCAACTGTCACCATCGRAACGAAACGTTTCTCGAATCCATGGTTACAGACAGTCGTTAAATTAAAATTAAAAGATGTCTGGGTCGACCGATTTCAATTAATATCTTTATAATGTGGTGGCTGACGGAATCTTAGGAATTTGTTGAGTTACTGGTGACTATTAATCACAAAGCTACCGATTTATAATAAACAAACTGAACGAAAAACTATAAGAGCAGTACACCAGAAACAGCCTTGACAAGAGTTATTTTTCCTTTAGAAGGACGTCATGCGACGTTCGACG